AGCTCAGGGACTGTCCAGACTCCTCCAAATCTGGAAGTTCCTAGTGATGGCCAGGCATGGCCGGCAGACCCAGCCTCCCGCTTTGCACAGTTCCCGCAGGCCAGTGTGCCCCAGGGCTGGCAGCTTGGGCTCAGCCTGCTTCCAAGATTTGGGACTGGGGCACAGCACATGCCTGGCTCTGCTTTCACCCTCTTAATCCACAGGCCCTGCAACTCACACTAAGACGTGCCTAGAGATCTGTTACTGCACAGCTAGGAGATGCCCAGCACAGCTGGGCTGTATGGCAACAACCCCTCCCAGATGCCAAGCAGGGCACAAACCATTCTCTCCTTCTCCTCGGCCTCCGACTGAGACAAGGCAATAGCTAGCTGGAGCTCTTCCTCCTCTTGCAGAGCTGTCTCATCACGCTTTGGAGGCAGCTGCAGGCAGAAAGATGAGGAGGTGGTCAGCAAAGGGATCAACGAGCAGTCAGGATCACTGGATCACCTGCAGGGCAGCCACCCACCTGGGACTGCTGGGAGAGGGGGCTGGTCAGGTACTCGGGGGGCAGTTCGGAGGTGGCAGCAGCTTTCCCCTCAGCTTTCCTGCAGTTGGATAAAGGCAACAACAGACTGAATGCTCCTTCCTCTGCAGTGGAGCCCCAGCCCTGCACAACACTACGGCTGTAAACCACGTTCCCAGGAAGGAAGGGAACCCAGCCTGGCCTGCGCAGCTTGGGAAACCCTTGCTCTGGTCTGCAGAAAGGTGGCTCCACACCAAGCTTCTCCCCCCACACTCCCAGCTGTTGCAGGCAAAGAAACACACCACAAAGGGTACTGACTTGTTGAGATGCTCGTAACAGGGCTCGCAGACTCTCACTTCCTTCTCAATCCCGAACTTGGGGATGGTGGAATACTTGGAGGAGCATTTGCCACAGAAGATCTGCCCGCAGGCCCTGCAATGATGCTGCAAAGGGTGGGAGACATCAGTGTGGTACCAAGACGCTCCTTCACTGTTAGGCATCACTCAGACACTACTCCTGGCACTTCCCTGCCAGCAGCCAAGGAACACAGTCCAGCCCCGACACACTTCAACGCAGGCTTGGGGAGTCCTGCACGTCCCGGGGGCCCGTGCAGGACCAGGGAACCCAGAGGGGCAGGAGCGGCACCCACCTTCCGTGTCACAACGCCAAACTGCACCCGACATCTGTGACACTCCTCAGCATCGACCCAGTCTGGAGCCTGTCAGGGTTAAGGACACTTGTGTAAGGAGGGGAGTCGAGTCTCAAGGGGAGTATCTCCACTGAGCCCTTCAGGAGCTCCTATGGCTGACTAAGGCACTCTCATGAATGGGGGAGATGGGAAGCATTTGGAGCTCAACAGGAAATATTAACCCCCACAAGTTATCTCCTCTTGTGTTCCTAGAGACTGTGATGCTTCCCAGTCAGCAAGAGATTTTCTAGGAACGTGTCTGCACAGCAATCGCTTTAGCAATGCCCTACTGCCATGTTCAGACTGCCATGCTGCTGGAAGACCACCAAGTAGGGTAAGATGAGACTAACTCCCTGTCCCAGTCAATTCTCCCCTCCTTCTGGTAGTTTTAGGCTAAATTGCTGTATGCCACCCCAGAACTGCCTGCGCGACAGCTGGGAGCAGCACATACCCAGCAAGGTCTCTAATCTGCATGAAATGGAGGAATGCAAGAACTGAAGGTTTGGTAGGAAGGGGACAGGAGAGCAGGGTCTGTCCTGCAGGGCCAACTCCCTCCCCACCAGCAGACCTCACCCTTTCTGCAGCAAACATGGCATCGCTCTCTTTGAACTCCGGGAACACGTGACCTGCAGGAGAAATGACAGCGTTCTGTTGCAAAAGGGCTACTCCGCACAGGGAGGCCTACAGCCTCGTGCCGTCACATCCAGCTCAGCACGCCTGCCCTCAGCACCATCTGACTCTGACACAACTAACAGCAATCCTCCTCCTGCAGGCCAGAGGCCAACACCCGCACAGCACTTGCTGCTGTCTACAAAGCAGCAGGCTCTTGGCCGTGCTCTTGAGCGCGCAGGACAATCCCCTACGGGTTTCCCTTATACACCTGCGAGGGACACCAGATCCCTTTGGATAAGGCTTATTTCTCAAGAACTTGAACTCAGCATGGAGGGGAAAAAAGCCCACTGCAGGGGCAGACGGGGTGTTCAGTCTCACCCCTGGAACGGCAAGCGTGTGGCAATGCCAGCTCGGCAGGGGACCGGGACCTCCAGGCTTTGCCACAGCCCACGGAGGTTCTGATGCCCAGAAAGACGCAGAGACAGCGGCAAGTCCCTTCCCTCGCAGGGAACACTGCCATTCCTGGGACAGGAGGGAAAGTACTCTGTTGGCAAGTGGGAGCCTGGATCCATCCTGGAAGTACTGCCGAAAGCCTGGGAGGAAAGAACCGCCCCACTGCAAATCCCTTCCCAGAGGACGCGCTGATTTGCTGCTAGTTTCATGAAGACCGTTTGCAGCTCTTGCTTTTCAGGTGTCACTGCCAACCCTTAGCTGCTAGCTGGGCTGGAGGCCCAGAGCAAGGCAGCCCCTGATCCTGGGACAATGGGGCTGTCCTCTCTCTGCAGCGGGATTCAGTCATGCCAAGAGGTTCATCGGGTATCAGACACCAAGAAAAAGCTCAGGCATGGTCCTGACACCCATTCCTTCTCCTGCAAGGCTCCTCCAGAGCAGAGCTGCTTGGCCAACTGTCCACCCACAGAGTCCTCACCTTCAACCTTCATTATCTGATAGGTGTCCTGCACCACCTTGTACTTGGGTTCATTGCGGAAGGCGTGAGCCCAGGCCTGGATAAGGTACAGGATCTTACTGCGGACACTTGTCTCCACTTGCCTCTGCACAGAAAGGGAGAAAAAAAAAAAATCTGAGAAAAAGACCTTGAAACCCAAAGGATGGTGTGAATCCTCCAGAAGAGAAGCTGGAAATACCATTCATGGAAAGAGAGTCTTTAGAGTACTTGTGCGTGGTATGAGCTATCAGAAAGCTGCAATAAGGACAGTTCACAGCAAGGAACTACAGACTCCTTCAGTTTCTCCACTTCCCCCCTCCGGCAGGAACAAGAAAACGTCCTTCAGAGCAGCACAGACCACCTTGAAAAGGGGTTTGGTTACGATGCTTTGAGAAAACACCCACAGGGACTCGCACGGTCGCTCCCCAGGGCAGGCAGGACCGCTGGCCGGCCCAACATCTTTGTCCACCTCCTCACAAGAGTTGCTCATCTCGCACTCAGGAAGTTGCGAGACCTACAGCTACCCAGCTGGGCAGAGCAGCACAGCCTGCCTCACCCGAGCGCCCACAGGGCACCTCCAGCTCACAGCTGCAGGGTGTCTGGAGGGTGCTGGTGCCCGGCTGCCAGCACCTCCAGCCAGCAACACCCAGAGCTGCCTCAGGACGTGACGCGGTGAGGACAGCTGGGCAGCCTGCCCCTTGGAGGCAGGGGTGGTAGTATCACAGGTCAAGGAGCTGGAGGAAACTTGCAAGCCTGCCTCGAGAGCAACCCTGTCATCATCTGACCAAGTCATCACACATTCACATGACCCGCTGCTCCAGAAATCCCTCAGGGAGCGGAGGGGCATTGTCAAGCTCCTGTTTCAGCCGAGAGCTCAGCCCACACAGCGTGACTTACTGACAATTCCTGGGGCTCCAAATTTCTAGAAGATTTGGCAAAATCCTGCATTCCACAAATGTCACAGCCCTGAACTCCATCAGAACTCAGGCCATTTTAGCAGCACTGGACATTCACAAGCAGGAAAGTTCCAAGTGTAGGAGGAGAATGGGTCTGCAGCAGTTATGAAACTACCAGGGCAGACAAGGACTGGAGAGAACCACAAAAACTCTTGATCTGATCTTATCTGATCTCCTCGGCACTCAGAGTGGCTGCGCTACTACACCTGGCCGTCACATTGCAGCAGTGTTCCTGTATCAGTAGAAGATCCTGCACGGAGACTGAGTCAGCCCTAGCAGGAAGCTGTCAGGAGAGAGACACCCTGCTAGGGTGTGCGAGATGATGGGACTCACACAGCTCATTCACCAAATATCTGGGTCATCTGGTCGTCTATTTCTGGCAGAAGAGGGAGGCTGTAAGGAAGGAACAGCAGTACTCCAACAAGCTCTCGTCTGGGCACTGCTGCTCTGGGGCTGGGAGCTGGAGACAGAAGTTCACATTTCCACTTCATTTGTGGAAGTCTCCAGTCTCCAGACACACACAGCTCCTGCAGGCATCATGTTACATCAAACTGGCAAGTGACAGCTTGCCAGTGAAAACAGCCAGATCTAGATCCTGCAAAGCTCCTCAAACAATTCCACAGGCCAGTGAAAAAGCCACGATAAAGAGGAAGCTTCTGCCAGTTTTTACTTTGCTGCTTTACTTTCCTGTGTCTCTCACACTGTACTACGGGAAGGGAATTCACTTCACTGCTGCTCAGGTCCGAACCATCATCTCTGTTTTCCATTGCTGTCTCAAGCCAAGCAAAGCGTGGCACCCAGGAGCGTTCACCATGAAATGGCTAGGCCTTTGCAGCACATTCCCACCCCACTTCACAGTATAGCCAAACATTACCTTTGCTCCCACAACATCTCTCCCTAGCAGGTACTCCTTAGCTCCCTACGCTCATCCCTTCACATCACACCATACAGTTTGCTCTTTTCTGAAACGCGTTTCCGAACAGTTTCCCTTCTGTCCCTTACGCAAAGGGAATGAAAGAGATGATGCACACATTTTTTCCTTCTGCTGCTTCTCTTACAAGCTCACTCAAAACCAGCCCTAAAATAAGATACATTTACCTTGAGTATTTCCTTCAGTTCCTCCATAGTCTGTTTATTGGCCACCTCGTCGTGGACCGTTTGGCCGCAGTTTTTAACCACTGACTCCATGACCTGCAAGGGCAAAGGACAACAGTAGCCTGGCGCTCTCTTCCTTCTCTGCGGCCCGTGATGAGTCCCAGTGCACGTTACAGGTTATTGCAGCCAGCACACCAAGACAGGGGCATGATTTAAGCAATGAGTCGCATTAGGGCAGTGTCAGTCAAGCCAGGGAGATCCACACCACCAAACTGGAGAGTAAGCTACGCTTCAGCTACACGGTGGCCTTTGTACCTCTGCTACACAGAGACAGACCCCCCAGGACAGCAGCTCAAGTTCCAGCTTCGTCTGTTCCTAACTCCAAGGCAGAACTAGAGAACGAAACCCACGGCTTGCTGATTAGTCACAAAACCTCCACGCTAGAGCCAGGAGGATGTGAACTCCAAGCGACAACTCCGCTGCTCCCCGGGCAGGGAACACTGTGCAGCCTACGCAGCCTGGGAGCCAGGCTTATAAAAGATCGGAAGTTCCCTGACCTGCGAGTTGGGCCCCTGCGGTGCTCACGGTTTCAGCTGACGTTACCTCCAGTGCGTAGAGTGCCACATGAGGATTCTTGTCATTGACTTTCTTCTTGATAGCATTGACGGCATATTTTGCTCTGCGTAAGGAAAGAGAGTACAAGTCCTCAGGAAATCAAGAATCTGAAGGGAGATTCCACCTGCTGCTGACAACCTGCTAACCCCCACCCTAACACAAAGGTACGGTTAGATCTTGGTCTACGCGACCCCCCCGAGGCAAACCAGGAAGAGAAGGAATAAGTACATTCAACCTTGAGTTTCTCTGTGGATTTCAGGCCACAACCCCTGAGGTCAGAGGAGTACCTCAACACATCAGGGCGCACCGTGCTGCCTTTCCAGTGTCTTTCCAAACAACACATGCTACTGCAGGCCAACAAGTCCGAGACCCTCACGCTTTGCCTCGCGAAGACAAGGAGAGCTGTGCACTTACTGGGTATCTCCCTGACGGATCATGTCACAGATCTGCAGGATGGATTCCCAGTCTGTCTCCAGCAGAAGCTGGCTCGTAGCCTTATCTGCAAGGAATAAACCTATTAGGCTGCTTTAAGCAGTTCTGCTTATCTCGCCTCTGGTCTGCAGCTGCTGGTGCATTCACAGGAAAGCCGCCCCGGCCACCGGCGATGCCCCAGACGCAGGCACTCGGGGATTAAACCCTGATCTCTCCCGGAACGCACCAGCTCCTCCCCTTCAGACGCCCCTGGGCGCTCGGTAACCTCGGACCCACCGCACCAGCTCCTGCGGGCCGCGGGCCC